TAGTAGTGGTAACTGATTATGGTATTATCACTGTCACCTATCGCTATTGATACTATCATCAGTGATAATAGATAATAATTATCAATAGTGTAGATTATAAGAATAGCTAATAATAGTTAACAGTAAGTCATAATAATAATAAGTAATGTGAGATTAAGAATATGAGTAATACTCATGACTACAATCACAGAATCTACTCTCGCGGGATACTCATCGTAACCTTGGATTGAATCAAATGATAATCATTGATAAATGGTAATAATAATGAGCAAAACAATAAGAGTAGCAGTTAAAAAGGGAATGAAAATATTATTTCGCAGCTTTTTGAGCTTTCATTGCAACTTCATTTGGAGACTATTTACTTAGTAATTATAGTTATAATAATCAGCTGTATTTGGGAAAGAGCAGAAAGGTTATTTTGGTTTCAAATTTTTGAGCAGAATACCTCCTATAGCAGCTGCTCGCCTTCATGCTGACTTCTGATATCCGAAGTCGGCAGGAAATCCAATTAGGCATGAACAATGGACGAGTAAGGGTTCCTCTCGATTCGTGCCATGTCTACAGCAATTCTCTCCCCTATACCTACTATACTACTTCTATCTATATTTATTTCTCATCTCTATCTATTACTAACTATCACTAACTATCATTAGTATACCATGCCTTATTTACCTATAATAAACAAATTCTTGGGATTTGGTTGGAGTAGTTTGTCATTCTGTGGAAGTTCTGCAAGTTGTTACTTTAGGATAAATACGTATGATATTGAGAAGTCCTCTACGACACTTGGGCAAGTGAAACCGGATTTGAGTGAAATTCGGTGGATTCCATCTGACTAGACTTACCTTACCGGTGTATAGGTTAAAGGACACATCTTCAAGATATGAAAGAAAGGACTTTCTTGAAACTCACCATCGACATCGTTGCAGAAGCTCAACAACTTTCCGCGGGAGACGCTCCGGATCGGAATGAGCCAACGCTCCGCCCCTCTCCCTTATACTCCAATTATCTTTCCCATACTGCCTCGTCAAAGAAGAAGTTATCAAGATGAGAATGCGACACATAAATAAATCAAGACTGCCGCTGAAATCGACCCAACGGCACGACATCATTAGGGGAAGAATCGGGCAACTTAACATTAATCACGAATTCAGGAGACTCATTTCAATCTGCGCCTTTAAACCTGATTCCCAAGAACGGCTGCCTCAGTGTGGATATGTGACTGGGAATAGCTGAGCACTGGGACATGTGAAGAAGTCAGTTTGGGAAAGATCGCTACTCTCCGTGCAATCGCAGTGTCAGTGAAGGAAAAAGGCAGAAGTGGAATCTTTTTCAGCCGTCTGGAACCTGCAGACTTCTAGATCTGTCAGACTTATGCTCGTATGAGAAGCCAATCAGCCATCGAAAGTAAATATTTTGGAACGGCTTCCATATAATCAACTAAGGTCTTCCTAGATAAAAGTACTGCACAGGGAGCAACCGGTTTTCTGCAATTAAAGGTTTTTCTGGAAAACGAAAAAAGTTCTGCAGAAAATGACCATCCTATTTGAGAATTCGGTCATTTTACGAGCCAGCTGAGCGTTCGTACCCTATGTCGGGTAGTTTAGTGACCTCCCAATTTGGATTTGTTCAAAATGTAAGAGCGCTAACCTGAAAAGGGAGTCGTCGTTCGAGATGCGTCCAACCTACGTACTCCTCATCAGAGTTGGAAGCCATTACCTGAAATCAATTTGAAATTTAAACGAAAGCCGTGACGGTATCAAAACGATGAAAAGGCGGAGTACGACAAATTTCGTTGAAATGAGAAAAAGTGAAAAACCGAGGGAGAATTCAAAGGGCAACATTGGTTCACATCAAATGGAGAACAGCAAAAGCTGGAGAAATGACGATTTTCAGTGAAAGACTAACAGAAGGTAACATATGAAAGTATTATAATCAGAAGCAGAATGGGAGGAGCTACAGATAATCATTAAATGACATACGATAGCTGTACATCAGAGCTACCTTATGTATGATCAGATCCATTGCCGTAAAAGAATGTTAAATCGTTCGAATATCCGATTTCTCTTTTTCATAAAGCCGAATAATCTCACTGATTCAAAAGCCGATTAGTTGAACCACCAGTTTTCGTATTCCTTGAGAATTCCTATGAGTTATGACCATAACATATCTTTGGTAAAGGTGACAACGGAAGGAAGAGTGGCGCTTGTGCGTAATGTGAAGAGAATGTGGAAAGGGGCCGGGAAATTTGTAGTCGCGAATTTCTCGAAACGATTACAAATAGCAGAAAACTTTGTGAAGTTCGAGAGTTAAAGTTCAGCTTGAAAGGCTCATTTTACAACGAGCTGAACGCCTACGACAATGTTCGGTTCGCTAACTGTGGAGTAGGCCGTGGAGCCCTCTTCGATTTTGGATTCGAATTTTGTAAGAGGCTTATCTCGAAGAGATCATACAACATCGCTGGTTATCGAAGTTTCCTTGAGGGGAGTATCAGAATCTGAGCTTAGCAAGTATGGTGAAACAGTCATTGGTCATTCAGCAATGAGATTTTACCTATTCTGTCCGAATAGAGTTGAGCATAAAGGAGTGACGTAGTTAGAGAGACGTAAAAACATGCTGATGCTAGCTGAGGAGGAAGCCTAGCCGGCAGCGAAATCAACTTTGTGTCTTCATACTAATAATCCATCCGTTATCCCCCAGGAAATCTGGGATTTCTAATTTCATTATCCCCTACACCCACAGTAAAGAAGCCTTCCAGCGAAGTAATAGCTGCCTTCCAGATGGTATTGTTCAAAACGCACTTTTCTTCAAGATTTACCACAGCCGTTATGTACACAGAATGCTCAGTACCAGGCCAACACGGTCATTAAAACGAATATGAGTCAATAAAGCTGCTATTACCTGGAAAAAATGGTCGTTAAACAGACGATGTGTTCACAGTGCCCCAACGGATCAAGGCCATGAATTTTTTATCAAAACTTCACCCGCCATGGACCATTTGCTTTTACGAAGCATTAGGATCGGTGTTAGGCTTACACAACTTCTGCATGACGACCATCTAACTACAGCAGGCTTGCCCCCCTCTGCGCCCCTGAATTTCGGTAACAACACCAAAGGGGAGGGGGTGCGGTGTGAACGTAAAAAAGTACTTGTAAAATAGTCGGGGTTGACGAGTGCTTGCCTCCAGATTAAGCCATGCATCGACCTTTAGTAAAAATAAAAGTACACTGAGCTGTCCTTCTTCTCAACTTGCTCCATGCAACATTGTTAAATAAGGTGAATGAACTCCTCTAGCTAGACCGTCAGTATGGAGGCATTACTAACTGAATCAATACTTTGAACTGAATGACTTCAACAATGTGATTTGATAGTTGAGGGTTCAGATTGAGGGTGATTCCTCACATCTGCTCTCCAACTCTATGGTTCTGTAAGATTTATTGTGAATTCAGATGAAAGCCTAGACCCGACAAAAACAACAATCCAAGCCCCTGTAGATGTTGTTAAATCTGTGCCGTTCCGATCAATATGATGTGAAAGATTCCGTATAATCCCTACTGAAGATCTGTCATAACAGCTTAACCGCCGTTCCTAAAATCGCATCCAGGAAAGCCGCTCCTATGACTACGAACGATCACTTCCACCTAACAGAAGCTCTTATCAAGCTCGTGAGTAGGGGGGTTTTCGAAGTTCCGTCGGGAAAGTTTTTTGTAGGATTTTAAACGAAAGGAACCTTAATGGTCCTTTTTACCGCTCGACTTGGAGCTTTTTTACGCCAACTAGATAAAATGAAAGAAATACACCGGCGAACAGCTACATCAATCTTAGTTCTTAGCGTTGAGCCCAATGCGATCGATATGACTTCAAATTAGAGTAAATTAAACTTGATTACTAAGATTTATACCAGAGATTACCTATCTTTACCACCATCCCGAACTGAAACCTCCAGACTACAGCAACTTCAGCCTTACCTATGGTGCCTGTCAGGTGGCTTTGAGCAATTCTGAGCAAATGAGCCTTTTAATGAGCCCTGACTTAATTTTCCGAACGACGCGATTTTGACAGGCATCACTTTTTGAGAGCCCTAACTTCAGTGGATTCTTGCAGTAACTCGGAATCAGTAGAACTAGGAGGTTATTGGTGATTCAAATGATATTTTTGAGTAGCATCGACAGCTGCATGGCAGCGAAAGAACAGCCTGAGAGGAAATATTTTTCCTAAAAACAACTGAATCCATCTTCACAATATATGGAAAGAAGTAATTAAGAAATCGATGGAAAAATGGAAAATTTCGGAGTTTAAACCGAAATTGGGGCCGTTCCGTGAGTTCTACCGTAATATTACCGGCAAAACTACGCTTATTGACAACAGGACGATCAAGTACTTCTTTCTATGGCAAAAGCTACCTCATTAAATATTTTGCGATAAGATTAGAGGTGGAAATTCAAAACTAACCTACAATAGCCCTTTTATAGGACTGGGCTAGGAATAGAAAACCCAGTCGCGTGATAATGGCAATACGGCGTAGGCAACGTTTCGAGCAACATCTTGAACATTGAAGTGGACCAAAAAGAGCCTAATATGAGAAAGAGATGTGGGAGGAGAGGTTTGGGTGGTCGAAAGACAAAAGGGGAAAGCGATAAGATGCGGGGAAGATGTTAAAACCGGAATGCCCATCTAATATCATTTTTTGTTGCCGTCGCAGGGAACGTCGGTAGGAAGCGGTCATGAAGTCCAGATAAATCGTCTCGCAAACGGGGCTAAAGACTTTCATGACCCCATACATCATATTGGAAGAGAAAATGCCTGATTTAAGCCGTTGCGGAGGGCTATGAAGGCTTTACTAAGCTCCTATAACCACCTAGTCTAAGGAATTGCCTCAAAAAGGATTATGAATTGACCACAGCTCTCCATCGGCTGTTGACCGGAAGAACGAACTTGATTTATTACTGGTTCTTTTAAAACTGTTTTTTCTAGGGGATTATGGAATGCGAAGTAATAAAAGGCGCTGAAGCACCATATAGCTGACCCAACGACACCTCGATTTTTCCTTTGATGAAAAAGTTTTGGCATAATATTCTGGTGTTGGGATAGCAGCTGGAGTCAAGCATTACATCAGAGCTCTCTACCTTCCCTTCGAAAATGCCCAACTTTTTCTCCTAACCCCCGAAACCCGAAGAGCAACCCAAATCCTCCACTTCCATGTAGAGCTGAGTGAGCTCGAGAGGACAGGGAACAGAAATGAATTCACATCCATGTTAGGATTCAGAGTAAGGGTAAAATTCACAGAGGATGGGTCCCTTATGTGAACTCTACATTTACTCTGGAGGTTCTCCTTTTCCTACTATTTCCTTATAAGTTTCAACACCAAGTTTGATACAGGAACTCATTGAGAGGCCACAGACATCATCAACGTTGATGATCGCCCGCATACATAGTTGAAGGGCGAAAAACTGGGAGTGCAAGAGCGGGAGCAATAGCTATCAGGGAATTGTCATCAAATGTTAGAAAACTAAGAAAGTCAACTGGAAACTATCAAACAAGTCAAAAGATTTTTATATCTAGAAATCCACTAACAGCAGTGTGCTCTAGATGGTAAAGACTTGGATCAGGCTGGGAACCTCAAGGTATATCTGGATGAGGATCATGAAGCTCTACGTCCTTGAATGGTGGTCATTGAGCAGAAATCGTGAAAACACTTCAGTACTCCATAGTTAGGACCTCCAGGTAAATAGGTCCGAATGTCCGAGGCCGGATGTAACTTGCCATGGGCCAAGAAGAAGCCTCATACCTGTGATGCTGCAACTCTATCCACCTAAGACTACCAGAACAACGACTACAATAGTTTAAGCAGTTGCTCAGAGGACCAAAGGATCACATCAGCTTTAAGAAGGCTAGCATGGGAGCCCTGGAGAAAGTGTTGAGGAGCCTCATAAAGGATTACAATGAAGTCAAGACCTAGGTAGAAGACTTCTCAGGTAGGAATAATCGCCAATACTTGGTATAGAAGGCGGAGGGTTGAGAGAAATGATGTCAATCTTGTTGAGGAGCGAAGGTTGCAGTGAAGCTTCTCGAGTTTTGAAATTTTCATAAGCAGGTAGCCCAGGCAACTGAAAAAGAACGGAGCTGTACTGTGTGTGCCTGCTTTGGAAAGAAAAGTTACTATGACGGGTTTGACGAGGACTGGCATCGCGAACAAAGCCAAATGACACATAATTCACAGGCATGAATATTGAGCAAAGACCGGGGGTACTAGGAAGGCGTGTTTTTAAGTCGGTAGGAATAATCGCCAATACTTGGTATAGAAGGCGGAGGGTTGAGAGAAATGATGTCAATCTTGTTGAAGAGCGAAGGTTGCAGTGAAGCTTCTCGAGTTTTGAAATTTTCATAAGCAGGTAGCCCAGGCAACTGAAAAAGAACGGAGCTGTACTGTGTGTGCCTGCTTTGGAAAGAAAAGTTACTATGACGGGTTTGACGAGGACTGGCATCGCGAACAAAGCCAAATGACACATAATTCACAGGCATGAATATTGAGCAAAGACCGGGGGTACTAGGAAGGCGTGTTTTTAAGTCATTGTGGCGATATATGCAAGCGTCGGAGTTATTTCTTAGAACTTCAGAAAAGAAAATGATGGCACATCCGATGAAAAGCGACAAGGTGCACGAAAGCAATTGAAGAGATGGATTGGCGACGATGGCAGTGAAGCGAACGGATACGA